GATCGAGTGCTCGATAATAGTTCCATACACTCGACGACAAAACACCGTTGGCTGCGTTCAACAGTTAAGATGGCTGCCGCCACGTGTTCGTGCGTACGGACGACGACCACCCAGCCGACCGCTCAGAATGTTGAGGTGTTTGCAGTTTCCCAAGGTGTTGGAAAGGTCAAAGGTTAAAAGGGTCAATAGGCAGCATACTCCACTACTGGGTGGTCGGCCGTTCGGTAGTTGGTTCGGTTTTTCGAACGAAACCAGGGTATTCATAGGGAAGGTTAGAATTACCGAACAAACAGAACTAAGAAATAAAAATATAAATTCCAGGGACAGGGAGGTCTGTCACAGCAGGAAAACGAGGTGACCACCCCAAAGTCAAGCTTAGACCACTTACCATAGTTGAGGAGCCCTTCTACCAAGTAGCAGTAGATCTAGTGGGATTCCTGAATAACCCTAGTCCCTCGCGGAAGAAATAAATTTTAACCATTGTGGACTATGCTACTCGGTATCCCGAAGCAGTAGCGCTCTCTAACATTCACACCGAGACTGTAGCCGAATCCTTGGTCAAGGTCTTCACTCCTAGGGAAATCGTATCAAGCAGGGGACAGAATATACGGCCTCCATTACCCAACAACTCTGTCAGAGCTGCAGGTTTAACTCATATTAAGCTCACCGTATCATCCCCAGATGAACGGACTCTGTGAATGTTTCAACGGCACCCTCAAACAGATGCCAAGAACCTTCACTGCCTCCTGCCATAACTGGGAAAAGTTTCTACCACATCTGTTGTTCGCATATTAGGTCCCCCAGGACTCCACCGGATTCCCCCCTTTTAATTATTGTATGGGCGGAGGGTACATGGACCCCTGCACCTTGTCCAAGAACATTGGGAGGGAGATACTGAGAAGGAAGGCACTCTCATGCCATATGTCCAGGAATTTCGGGACTGTCTGCAGGCTCTAATCGAGTCCATTTGGGAGAACTTGTGAGCAACCCAGCAGCGCCAGAAACAATGGTACGACCGGAGACCTAGAGACTATGTCCTATAACTTAGACAGAAAGTTATAGCCCTTATCGGCCCTACAGCCGATAAGCTACAAGCAGAATGGCAAGGGCAAGATACCACCTATATAGTAGTAAAATGTTCGAATTAAAGGATAAGAAAATCCTTTCATGTGAATATGCTAAAACTCTTCCCTTACCTGATCTGCTCCCCACCACCACAGCAGGCGTTGAGCAGGTCAGTCTGTTAGGGGAATACCACAAAATGTTTTCTACACTACCAGGGTACACAACGCTGGCGGTACACAGGGTGGAGATCCCAAGTCTAAGCCCAAAGTGTTTTCCCAAAGTGTTTCTCTCTTGCAGCCACCATATCGTATCCCTGAAGCTGTTCGAGAGAGCGTGTGCAAGAAAATACAGGAGATACTAGAACTCGGAGTGATATTCTCCCAGAGTCCTTGGGCTTCTCCCGTAGCTCTTAAGTCTAAGCAGGATGGTACAACCCACTTCTACATCGACTACCACAAGCTCAACAACTAATCCATTACAGACGCCTACCCTATGCCCCGGGTACATAAGTTGTTAGACCACATGACAGTAGGGAATTACTTGACTACTATAGATTTGTGTAATGGGTATTGGCAGATCCTCCTGGTGCCTGAGGCCATTCCTAAGTCTGCATTTGTCACCCCATTGGGCCTATCCCAAGTTCAAAGTTATGCTGTTTAATGTAGAATGCCCCCGCTACCTTTCAGAGGATGGCCGACCGGCTCTTGGAGGGCTGTCAGGATTTCACCTGTGCATATCTGGATGATATTGCCATATTCAGCCGCACATGGGAGACCCACCTTGAACACATATCTGTAG